ACTTTGTATGGCAAACAGCGGGGAGAACAGCAATGCTAGGCATCTGGAGTGTTTTTCTCTCATTTTTAAGAAAAGACTGAGTCTCTATTTGGGAAATTTATTTTTCAGAAATTCTCTTACTGCCAACATTGGTTATTTAAGTCAAATTACTGATTCACTGGAATTGTTTTCCAGGCCTTTTGTAATACCATATCATATTTTTAGTTTTTTTATTACATTTATTTATTCATCTTGTTTGTGTGTTTATGTGGGTGGGTGCGCTCTTGCCACATGGTGCATGTGTGCAGTGGTAAGAGGACAACTTTTCAAGGTTAGGTCTTCTCTTCCACCAAGCTGGTTCCAGGGATTGAACTCTGGTCATTTGGCTTGGCTGCAAGTTCCTGAACCCCCAGGGCCGTCTTACCACAGGCTGCCAGAGGTTTTACAAAATGGCTTTGTATTTACTTGCTTTCTTGGAGAATGCGGGAGATGTCTGCTATGTCCCTTCCTTGCTGAGAGAATGGCTTTCTAAAGTTTTAAGTTTTCATTTGGATGTATTTTTAAACATACAGAAAATTTGATACTTAGTGCTATCAAAAATGATAGCACTAAAATTACAACAGCTTTTAATGTGACTTGTCTGTTGGCAACATGCTCTGTTTATCTTTTTGTACTGTCTTTCCATATACTAGATATGCAGACTGTGATAAAGCAGAGAATACTTTCAAAGCCGCTTAAAGATTATATGTACATTTTGTTTTTCCCCCTAAGTCCCTCTATTCTTCCTGACTGTAGGCCTATTCTTTGACATAATTACAGTACAGTAATCAGTTTCAGCATATTTAATGTGGATACAGGACTTTTCACTGAAGAATATTCCAGGTCTGTGAATTAACCCAATGTGCCTTATGGCATTTCTCTCTAACATACAGTCTTGCAGGTGTCTTTTAGTTGTCTTGTTTGAAAGTGTTTTCAATTAAAACAGATTTAATTTTTGTCATCCTTGAGGAACCATATTCTATAGAGTATACAAGAATCTAAATTTGAGTGACATTTGACAAAAATTGGGCTTTGGACTGATTTTTCATTATCATTTTATATTTTGCAATTCTGAAGGATTAGGATGTTATCAAATCAATATTAAAATTACTAGCAACTGTTTCTCTTAGTATCATTATTAGTAGATAATGTTTAAGCTCCATAGTTTTGAGTCATAGTTGAAATTCCAAAAATAATAGTAATCTTTAAAAAGAAACTTCTAGGGCTGGGGATGTAACTCAGTGGTAGAGTGCTCACCCAGAGAAGAGCTCTCTTCTTCCTTTTCTTGTCCTGTGTGTGTGTGTGTGTGTGTGTGTGTGTGTGTGTGTGCTTGTGCAGTGGGGGATACTAATGGAGCTAATGTAAGACTAGTGGGAAGTATGCAACTCTGAGAAGGAACTTGAGATACAGGTGTCTTTTAAAGAGATTTGATTGATACTGACAACTGTAGAATACAGTTTTACATAAATAAACTGATGTTGTTTAAAAGGCAAGCTGTCCGATTTACCAGTCCTCCTTTCAAAGTCTGATGTTTTTACCCTGATTGTCAACGGCAGCTTTAAGGGTGTGTAGCATTCCAGGGTGAAGCCACAAATCCACTTTCCATCTTAGGGTTACTGGCAGTTGGTTAGATTTCTGCACCTCCATTTCCCTCTTTCCTGGGAATCTGGGAGACAAAACTCTCCAGGATCCTGATCATTAAATAAGTGCCTACCCCTGGTTCTGTGTAATTTCTCCTTAGGTGACTAGTTGAGAGCCAATGGTCTCTGATGGTAATTTTTGTAGTCATTCATAAGAAAAAGGGATAAACTTAATAACCAAGACCTTGGTATTTGAACGAACATACTTGTTTAGCCCTGGTGATAGTGCTTTTGGCTCTTTGCCTCCTGGTTTTGTTCACTTCTTTCCAGTTTACAACTCACTGACATTTTTAACATGCTTAGGTTTGGAATATAAAGGACACAATGAACTGAAAACCTGTGTTGATGATTTATGTATTCCTGTGTATTACGGAGACCATTGTTTCTGTCCCAAATACCATTCTGAGGTTCTTCAATGTATTGTAAAACTATAAAATATTGACAGGCTTTCTCCCACCTTGTTATATTATTCATTGTGAATCACAGACAATACAGTGGAAATCACCCCTGCTCTCATCTTACCATCACTACACTGCCCAGTCCAGTATGTGATATTGGATTGTTGACTGTGCTTGTCAAATATGTATCTGTCTGTTTCTACTTTTCCTTATGATGTACGTCTTTTTTTATTTTAAAACCAATTTTATTACTGTTTATGCCTGTGTGTCAGAGTGTGCACACATGCATGCAGGTGTCCAACTGAGGTCAGAAAGATTATTAGATCCCTCAGAGCTAGAGTGGTAATGGGCAGCTGTGTGCTGCCTGATGTGGGTGCTGGGAATTACACTCTGGTCCTCTGGAAGAGCAGCAAGTGCTTTTAACCACCGAGAAAATTCCTTAGCACATGCTGCCTTTTAAACAATAGGACACATGCTTTATTTAGATGAGTTCAGTAGGCTATAGCAGGCCCCTGGCTGTGACAAGATAGCTAAGACTAGTAATGAGGTGTTTATAGAGACATGTAACATAGATGTGCTTCAGGGGAAAAGTCACATCTACAGTGGCTATTGGCACATGCCTGTCCTGAAAGAATTGCTGGATCTCTGATCCTCTTAATTTTCAAGCTCCACTGGTTTGTGTCTTTTTTTTTTTTTTTCCTAACATTTAAAGCTGGCAAGATGGCTCAGCAGTTAAGAACACTTGCTACGGGCTGGAGAGATGGCTCAGAGGTTAAGAGCACCAACTGCTCTTCCAGAGGTCCTGAGTTCAATTCCCAGCAACCACATGGTGCCTCAAAACCATCCCTTATGAGATCTGGTGCCCTCTTCTGGTGTGCAGATATACATGGAAGCAGAAAATAAAATCTTAAAAAAAAAAAAAAGAACAATTGCTACTCTACTAGAATACTAGGGTTCGGTTCCCAGAGCTCACATGGCAGCTCACAACCGTCTGTAACTCAAGGCATAATAAAACCCATGAAAATAAGGTAATTTTAAAAATTGCTATGTATGTGTTTCCGGGCATGTGTGTATATCATAGGCATGCCTAGTGATGGATTCTATAGAACTAAAATAGCAGATGGTTGTAAGACTTCACATGGGTGCTGGGAACCAATCCTGGCACCTCTTACAGAGGAGCCATCTCTTTAATCCCCATTTGTCAACTTATAAAAAAGAGATCATTTTATTTTTAAACTCTCTCTCTCTGTGTGTGTGTGTGTGTGTGTGAGCACATGAGTTCAGGCCCCTTAAGAGACCAGAAGAGGGCACTGGATCCCTTGGAGCTATAGTTAACTGGTGGCTGTGAATCTGATATGGGTTGTGGAAGCTCAGCTTGAGTTCTCTAGAAGTGGATGGAGTAGACATTCGTAACTTCTGAGCCCCCCCCTTCACTGCTGGGTGATTTGTATCTTACCCCACTTTATAGCATCCATTGCCCTCAGCATTTAATACCAGTGGTAACTATATCCTTGTATCATGTATGTTTTTACTCAAAGGCCAAAATAAATTAGTTTTCATCAACAGGAACTGAGACCATTGGCTTTTTAATTTTTTTTTATTTTTTCACTCATCATTTATTTACAAATACACATTATAACTTTTATATACATTGCACATTTACATGGTAGAAAAGTACAAAACTATATATTTAAATGAATTTATATTTAACTTGCCATGTTTGAAAATATAAAATTGCATCAGAAAAAAGTATTATGAAAAGCAAGAAACTTGAACTGATAAAGCTTTGATGGAACTTTTAGTGACACATTGGTTGAAAAAGAACTAATTGAAAAGGTACTGCCAACTACCTCAAAGGAGAAACACTGAATGACAGGTTGAAAGTGTAACTTTCACCTTCCTTTAGACTCCTGACGCCCACATCATCATGTCTTTGGATCTGTAACATCATAAAAGTACAATTCTAGAATTTTAATGCCGCTTGCTCTCATGCTCACTCACAATGTTTTCATCAGAACAAGGGACCGGAAGCAGAGGTTTCCTCCAAGATGTACAGCCTCTGTACCCGGGGCAGAGTTACAATGCCTTTTGGTCAGTCAAGATTCCTTGTAAACAAAACCCGAAGGATCAGGTATGTACAGAGTAGGCAGCTGAGAATCCAATAAATAAACATGACAGAAACTGACATGCAAATTTGTTAGAGAGTGGAGAAGAGTCTAACAGCGGTGAAATGAAGGGAGACAGATGAGTGAGTGAATCATAAGGAATGGACTTCAATGGTTTACAAGGGGGGAAAAAAACGGTTTTACTTTACAAGCAAGAGACCTCACAATAAATAACAACTGCTCTTCCTTTCACGAATAAATTTCTTCAAAAACAAGGTGTACAGTCAACCAGACATTTTATGTATAAATTATAAAACATGACACAGTATAAATAAATGTCTACAAGTCTCAACTATAGGCCTCATCCAGTAGACCACAAAATGACAATCTCTCCATGCCCAGTGAGTAACAAGTGGCTCGGGAGAGAGCTTTAGGACAAGGTCCTGTCATGTATACTTTCCCCCCCCCAAATAAATAAGCATACACTTATTTACATTATGGACAATATATTTTTTCTTTTTCTTATTTTCTTTTCTATCTTTTTTTCTTTTTTTCTTTCTTTTGTTGTGTTTTGTTTTGCCCAGAGGCTATGTCAACACTGAACACTGGTGGAGCGTTTACCACTCTAGAATGGAAGAGATAGGAAAGTTGTAGTCCTGGTCTTCCTCCTCCTCCTCTTCCTCCATGTCTTCTGAGATGGCTAGATGGGGGAATACAGGGGGAGCTGTTGTTTAAACACGGATAACAACAGCGCAGAAGCAGCTCAGTGTATGTTTTCAAAGCCCTCTGATACAGCCACATTACAGCATTGTAATTTTACATGACTTGCAGTGTGATGCTTTTTTTTTTTTTTTTTGGCATCTGCAGTTATGCAATAAGTTTACTTAAAAACCAACAACAAACAAACCACCATAATCTATGAAGTCAAAATTGGAGAAAGTTCTGAAGAATCAATGGCTCAGGTTTTACAGGCAGATTCCTGAAATCAGATAAAAAGCGCTCTTGTGTTCTAGTTATAACTGCTTTTCGCCTTAATCCAGAGTTAGTAGAGGCAACTGCGATAAGCCGCAGCCCAGGTGTGATAATATAAAGCTGTCTTTGAAAAACAAAACAAAAACAAAAGAAAACAAAACCCCACAAACTTTTGAAGCAGTTAGTTTAGATTCCAGTGTTAATGAAGCAACAGCAAAGCAAAATACTAGAAGAATTGAGTGTCAAACAACTGGAGAGAGGCTTTCATAGGCAACCCAATGGAAGGCCATCAGGTGGATCCTAAAGGCCAGGAAACACTGCAGAGTTTGGCTGAGGATCAATGAATTTGCTGGTGAAATTTAGCAGCTACCTAGCTTTAACAGACATGGGTTTACACAGCGAGGTCTGCGTGCTTTTTAAACTGTCCATTCCCCAGGGCTTGCCTGGAAATGCCTTAAATTGCAGCAAGGTTAAAAATCACACTTACAGTTGCAAGATCCGGAGTGCTTCACTTCAAGCAGCACGCCAGAGGAGCAGGCAGCTTCCTTCATGGCACACTCGCTGGCATAAGTGGCATTGTCACTGGCGCAGACCGGCTCATCCGACTTACTGTCAGGGCAGAGCTCATCACAGAGAGAGCAACGGCCTCGGCCAACCTTGAAATCCCACAGGCATTTTTTTCCACCACCACAGTGGATGTCTTCACAGGACTTTGCTTCTAGGATATAAGACACCTGTGATGAGCAAACTGAGTGTCTCATTCCCTTTCTTTCTTTCCTTCATTCCCTACTCATAGATAGACATATTATACATGTTATCACTGACTAAAGGGGATAATGAAGGTGTTAAATTGCTTTGCAATCACACACACACACACACACACACACACACACACACACACACACACTGTGGTTTCTTAAATCTTATAGACCTGCATTAAACACAATATTCTGTGGTATAGAATTTCACAACATCCTTGAGTTAAAATATGCATCTGATTGATTCCTATAATTGGGATTAAAAAAAAATCAAATTCCATCAATTACTGGAATCTGATAACAGGTTTTAGGAACTGTTAAGTAATTATTTTTCGCTTCCAGCAAGTCTGGCACTTAAAAAAATGTGTAAAATTGTGTGAGTTCTAAGTTTTCTAAGATAGAAAACTGTTTTCTGCTTCTTGCTGGTGTGTCAATGCATCTGGAAGACAATGGTTCTTCAGGAGGAATGTTTCAGTTAAACAGTTTTCACCCAAACTGAGGGGAACTTGCATTTACTCACTGAATAGCCCTACAAAATTAGAACAGATACATTTTCTTCCTCTCCCTTCCTTCCTTCCTTCCTTCCTTCCTTCCTTCCTCCCTTCCTTCCTTCCTCCCTTCCTTCCTTCCTTCCTTCCTCCCTTCCTTCCTTCCTCCCTTCCTTCCTTCCTTCCTTCCTCCCTTCCTTCCTTCCTTTTTTTCTTTTCCACAATCCAGAATACCTACTGATACATTTTCCCTCATAGGCTAATCCAATCGATCTGCCCAGCAAACATGTGGCCTTTCTCAGGTGGCAGGCACTAGAGTAAGTCACTCCATCATTCCCACACAGGTACTGCTCAGAAGAGGAGGGCTCTGGGCAAATCCGATTGCATGTCACACAGTAGGCATTGTTTGTCTGGTCCACAACACAGGTGGAGCTGCCAGGACAGAGAACATCCCGGCAAGTCTCTGGAAAAAAAGAAAACAAGGAGGGAGACTTTTCAGTAGGCACCTTCTGGTTCTTAGGGCATAAGCGGTTGACATTATGAAGGAAATCATTAAAGCGAAGCATCCAGATTTTAACAGGCATTTGGGGGCCTGGCTGTTTCCCAGAGGATCTGTGACTCCAGGCTGGCTCCTTCATTACCCTTTAAGAGTAACAAAAGAGCCCCTTTATCTGGTATCACTATTCTGATCCCTGGGCTCTTTATGCAGACTGTACTATCCCCTTTGGGTCTTCAAAAGTTTATGAATGTATAAGATACTGAAGGGTGGGACCTACTTTTACATTTGCCTTGGTACTGGACTTCCAGTTCCGGCTGCTCTTTACATCTGGCCTTGAGGAGTGCACATTCATTGCGGTAGGTTTTCCCATCCAGCCCACACACTGGGCCCTTCCAGGTGATGTTGGAACAGTCTGGGGCACAGACACAGCGGGGTTTATTCTTCTTGTTCATTCGGCATTTTTTCCCAGGTCCGCAGTCCACATTCTCACACGTTTCTAGGAGTTGGAAAGAGGCAGGGATTCAGACCCGTGTGGGGTGGTGGTCTCAAATGCCTTGGGCAGTCATGCCTGGAGGGCCCCAGGCTGTCTCCTGGAAGACTGCAAGGGATGGGGGCTCAGGACTCATGTCCTGTATCCAAATTTTCTCAAAGACCACACTAGTTGGCGGCTTTCACTACCACACTCAGCTAAGAAGCCTGAGGACCGACCTCTGCCGACCTTGTTTTGCCTACAGCGCTGGATTCCACCTAGCTCACTCTACCCGGGGAAAACATGGAGAAACCGAACAAAACTCTGCCAGTCCCAGCCAGACAGTGGGAAAGCTGAGGGCAAGACGCCCTCTACTGAGGGCCTGCCGCCTAGGGAAGAGAAGGCCCACCTTTACAGGGGATGCAGTTGGGGGCGCCTCCGTTGAAAATCATCCACTTGAAGAGAGTATTGTGGTTCACATCCTCCTCGGTCCACGAGGTACTCAGACGGCCGGTGCTGCAGCACTCCTCTTTGCTCAATTCTGTCTTATACAGGACCTGGCAGCGGCCATTCTTGGCTTGGCGGAGCCAGCAATTCCCAGCTGTGAAGAGACAGGGATCAGGAGGTGAATGAGCAAGCAGTGGGGTAGGGCAAGGAAGGGGGCTAGAGACGGCAAAGAGGCCTGATGGGTCTGGGAACCAAACGATCGAGGGAGAGTGGGTGGGGGGCAGGGAGGGGGAGAGGGCGGGAGAGAGGGAGGGAGAGAGAGAGAGAATCAGCCCAGGCTAACTTGCTACATAGTCAAAGATGACCGGGGAGTTGGGGGGGGCAAACCCCCCCCCCAGCCCCCCTCCTTTAGCCATATCAATGTCAGTTACCAGTGACCCAGACACAACACGTGCAGCTTGCATTGACTTTTACTAGACTGTTTACTTTTATTCGTCCCATTTCATAACCTGCAGCGACTGGAGGAACAGATTAAAGAACCTGACAAAAACAGGATGCGACGGATGTTTTTACATGTTGGTTTCATGTAGGCGGTAAGAGAATTATTTGTGACAGGGGTTAAGAAAGTAGAGAGAGCAGACGTGGAAGGGAGGGAAGGAGGGAGGGAGGGGGAGTAGGGAGAATGAATATGAATCTTCAGAAACAGATCAAGCAAAAGACACTTGTGAAAAAATGAAAGCAAAAAAAAAAAAAAAAAAAAAAAAAAAAAAAAAAAAAAACAGCGCCCCCCCGCGCCCCCCGGGGTTTTCCCCTGGGTGGCCTGGGGGCGCCCCCCGCCCGTCGGGCCCGTTTTGCAATCGGCCAGCCCGGAGCACGGCCGCAGCCACCGCGATCTTTCGAAATCTCCGAGGGCTGCTTTCCCTGGCGCCCACGTTCCGGCACCCAGGCAGCGCCCCTATCAGAGAGGCGGGCTGCCCAGCCTAGTGTCGGGCAGACGGCTAGGGCCAGTGCCCGGGAGGGCAGCTTACAATACACAAAACTTTACCGCTCTAACAAGCAAAGCAGCAGTACTAAAGGGGGGAGGTGTCCAGCAGGTCACATATACCTACCTCATGTCTACCAAGAACTCTTTGCAAATAGTTTTCTCCCCTAGCCCTTTTCATGGGTTCGGACTTTGGACAAGAAGACTTCTCATGAATCACCAAAGTGACTCGAGCAACTGGAGCGCAAACTGCATGGTCACCACTATTTAAAAAAAAAATCCTGCCCGGAGACTAATTGTTATAAAATAAATCATTTAAAAAATTTTAGAAGATAAATTTCCGAAATTCGCTCTTTAATCCACGTCAGAATTGAAATCGCTCGTGGGCTGCTTATTGTTTTACAGAAAGTTAGCAGACATGAATGAGGCAAAGTGGAGAAAACTGTAAAGTACTTAAAATGCTTCGGGCTAATAATTTGGCTTGTCCTTTTTCTTCTCCTTTCTCGCGGGGCTCAGGGAGAGGAGTGGAAGGAGCATCCACTAACACTACCTCCCTCTAAAAATTTCAGTACCCACATTTCCAAGTTTGGGCAAAGTTTCTGAAACCACGTCCCCCAGCCACCCAAGAAAATTCGTTATTTCCCATCCCCCACCCCAAGTCATTTTTTAAAAAGTCACCAAAAGATATGGAAGGAAGATAGGTTAGATCGTTAGTAGGTCGACTACAGCCTCCAGGCTATTATGGATGCTCGTCCTTCTCCTGAGCCAACTAGGGGAGATAACATCTAAAGTCATTATGACCAGAACTTGGAGCATCTATCCCTAACTACTGAGGTTCCAGCTCACCCACTCACGCCTTTTCCTTTTTGAGGATAACCCGACTCTAAACTCTGCTCTCTATCCCAAAGTGTCACTGCTTCAGTCCTTTCCCCCTACTCCTTTCTCCCGGAGTGGCCGAGAGGTTCTAACATCTTCCGAGAGCAGCGTCGGTAGAAACAGACCGAGTCGAGACCGCAGAAAAGTAG